CAGCTGCCAGCCTGAGCTGTAAGTAATGCAGGACTGTGTTCACGTGGAAGGGTCCTGCTATAAAACCGTGACAAATTAGAACTCTTATTTCTGTCCATATTGCCCAACTCTACCAAACGTAAGCAAGCCAGACATTCAGAGAGTTTGCTTTTCCTAGCACAAGCCTCAGTATTCCTTCCTTCTCTGCTGCTCCAGTGAAGTTTGCTCTACTGCTACACAATGACAGACTGTTGCACCGAGGCATAAGGATCACCTCTGGTTAAAGATGATGGGCAGGCGTGAGGAAAATGGTAGGTTTCATCTGCAAACGTGATGTGTCACCGGTGTCCATTTATGGACAATTTTAATAAAATCTAACAGTAAAATCCAGAGCTAGAATCAAGCCAATCAGATATAATGGCAGCTCTGTAGGCATCAGGTTCCCCAGTGCCAACACTCTCAACTAAACTACGTTACATTTCCAGGAAGTGTTATACTTATTCCTTATTAACTGTGTAAGCGCACCTAGAAAACTAATGTTTTCAACACAGGTTTATGAGAGAGAGATCTGTTTCTCAGACACGTCAAACTCTTTACATATGACATGTTTTGCCCTGAAACGCTCTCCTGAAAGCCAGGAAAAGGTGCCCTCCCGTGGCAGCCTGTGGCACTGCAAGGAACTACGGGCAAGTAATTCACAGCCGGAACAGCTTCCAGTTCCCTTGGATCCCACAGTACAGTAGAGTAAAGTATCAAAAATGTGTCTCTGTACTAATGCCCGCACTCAAGGGGCTGGATGTCCAAAGAACTTATTAATAAGATGCCAAGTTTCCTAGCTAAATCAGTGGGTCGGTTCAACACTGCTGCAACAAGCAATATTTATTACCATCCGAGGACTGGTCAGTGACCCATTGTGCAGTAACTTATCTCAGCTGTATGGCATTTATGTAATTGGATTTCCCATCCCGCATCCAATAATACATTTCAGATGAACGTCAAGAACAGAGCAGCCCCCCGGTGCATCTACAGCATTAGCGGAGAAGGGGGGGTAGAAAAAGCCATGCTTTAGAAAGGATGGTCAAGGGCTAAGAGCTTCAGCAATGGATCCAGCTCTCCGCTTTGAAACAGGCTTCCAGCGTGACCTTGAAAAAGTAGTTTCTCTGTGCCTCAGTTACTCAACTGCAAGACACCTCCCTGCCTTGCAGGGGTGCTTCTCAGACATACTTTTCAAATTGCCAGGTACTTTACACTGTGGCAATGGGGCCAGTAAGTACACCTGATAAAACAATGACTTTTAGGGTAGAGAAAGGCAAGTGGAACTCAGGATGAGGAAGGACATACCAGCATACAGGTAGCATTGGACAAGAGCCTGGTGTGTAAAGCAGCGAGACTGGTAGGCTGCAAGACTTCAGCAGAAAAAAGTGGCAAGCAACAAGATGGAGATGAAGCCTCCAACACAAGTACAAGTGTCTGCACATAATGCAAAAGGACTGCAAAGATGCAGCAAAGGGGCTTGGTTATACTCGCCTGTAAGCAAAAAGACCAATAAAGCCAAGAACAAATTTCAAGTTGGTATTATCTTATTGCATCCATGACAGTGGATCTCCCCACCATACCAAGGTCCATTCAACTTTTTAAGAGAACCTTTCCATCAAGTCACAAAAGAAAAAGAAAACAAAGAAAAAAAACTCACAAAACTTAACACTGACCCTTTACCCAGGTGCACAACGTTAGTGTGCACAGATTACTGCATCCAGCTAAGTAATCTTTCATTTCCATATTAGCAATGTTGCTCCTAGCTTGCCATGTACACATATACTGAAACAAGCAGCACACGATATGTACTTTCTAGCAAGTCAACTTTATCTTAAAACGACTTGCTTTGTTCACCAAACTACTGACTCTTCCTTCCCTGGCATCCCACCTGCCCTCAGTCAATTTATTTTCCCTCACAGCAGTGGCTCATTATCTTATATTGGTCCAGTACAGTTCAAGTTCTCCCTTCTTCACAAGTGAGCACAAGTTTTCCGGACAGCTTAAGAACAGCGAGCTGTTGTCAGGGGGGGTCAGCAGCGCAGTTTTCAACAAGGTGAAAGTGTTTTCCCCTCTCACTTCCCCATGAAACACCATCCATGGGAGGGTTGTAAACCCCACCTTTCCTCCCAAGGGCATACAGCTAGCAGACTTGCTATACCAAAGGTGCCTATCACCTAGTGGAATCATAACAGAACAAAGTATTATTAAGCTCTATAAGCAGATCACCATTTTTATTGCATCAGTACACACAACACCCAAATTACATTGGAATTTAGTGTACACGCTACACAGAATCAATCATCTCAAACCGTTGTTACCCAATACCAAACAGCTTCACCATTCCCATTGTGGAAAGCCCCAAAGTCTTAGTATAGCAAAGGATTAAAGTCTGTGCATCTTGAAGTGATCAGGTGGATGGACTATTACACAAATTCACCAGACAATTACTACCGTGCTATCTTTAATCATCTGCAGATTTGAAGCAAGAACTCCAGGGAGTCATCAGTGCCGTCTGTCCACTACTTCTGGAAAAGGGACAGGTGTTACTCCCTCAGGTCGGACAGTCCGTGCACACACCAGTAGGATACCACCCATGATACTGTGCCCCAGCCACCTCATTGCTACGGGAAATGGGTTCTTAGTGATGAAGAGCTCGGACAGATTTACTGTCCGCTAAGAAGCCTAGACACTAACGTGTGACCAGCTGGTCCACGGTGCTAGACAGACCATCGCCCAGCGTGGTACAGGCATGTACATAAACCTTAAGCCCAGTACCAAGTATTAAGGGTACCCAGGTCCCTTTTTAGACGCCAATCAGAACAACTTCATGTTTACAACATACACATCCCAGTTCTAACTGCTACCGCATCTTCAGGGGACACCATCCCCATCCTTCTCGCCAGCTAGCGCACACTTGCCACCAGATAGGGACACCTGCTTGCTGGGTCACTCTGGTCATTGATTTGGTGTTCTGTGCTGGTCTTACCAACTCATTCTCTTTCTGTTGACCCTGGGGGCACCTCCAAAACGTAACAAGCTACTTCTCCAGCACTTGGGCAAGTCGTATATGGCACACCTAGTTTCATATTCCTTGGGGCCTACTTTGCTTCATGCTGTTAGCAGGGCCTCTGCAAGATTTCTACATGCACTGATCAATAGTTGTATTAATCCACACTCCAGCAAGGTCTACACATTAACCAGCAAAGGTTTTGTATCTAGATCATTGATAAACAATGGTGGACCAAAAACTGATGCCAGCAGGACTACATTATAAATTATGTTCACTGATTTTCCCCAACTATCCTGAGATTATGAATGAGGCAGTTTAATCAAAGCAGTTTGTTCCTCCTAAGACTGGACATGGTTCCAAACAGTGTCTTTTATGCCCCATTTACCTCAGTTTATGACCACTGTTGCCCAAGTCAGAGGTGCCCACCAGAGGCCAGCACACCTTCTGAACTGGTACAAATGCCCAAGACCTCTTTATTGCCAAGGCAAAATAAAGTCCCTTTAAAGTGGCCTGTCAAAGAGTCATAAATGGGTGAGAGCTGTTTTGCGAGCTACAGTGCATGGTACTGCCAATCACAAGCACTCATGAGAAAAAGAAAGTCATAACTATCCGAAGAGCCATGATTCTTTTTTTAAGTTTAATTCTGAGTTTGGGTGAGAAGGAACTGAAGTTGCAAGATAAAGATGCAAGGAAGGAGGAGCAGAGAACAGCTAATCCATTTTTCACAAGGGAGATGAGGCAGCAAGGTATCCTGAGCACCGAGCTCCACACTCCTCCTCTCTGAAAGGGGCATGAACTACTTTCTCCCATGCTGTCCTACTTAAACTTTATCAGTACCCACGTGGGGGGAGGTCAGTCTGCCAAGTGCAGCAGCTGTGATCAGTGGTTCTTTCTCAGGATACAGGAAAGGGGTATTTCATTCCAGCAGGTCTGGAAATCTGATGATGTCCAGAGCTTGAGATGGCCTTTGCCTAGAGTCAGGGCTGTCATGGCATCACCATTGTGCTAGGAGCTCAGAATACCAGACTGTTGGCTTCAAACCCCTGAGAAAAAACAGCAAAGAGCAGGCTCTTCTCCAGCCTGCTGCAGGTAGCCACCAGGACCCTCTACCACAGCCTTCGCAGTCTGTTCTAAGCTCAGTCAGGTCGCAGAGCGAAGGAAGGGAGCTAAAGCTGAAGAAGAGAACTCATACTCCCACACCTGGGTCCCCAACTCAAGGGGATGGACTCCTCCCTTCCCACTTTCCAGTCATGACCCTTTCACCTCTTCATCTTGCTCACTTAACAATAACTTTTCCACTTCCATGCAGCAGAGCAGTTTTTCTTCTAATCCCAGCTCCACCACTTTGCCCACTAAGACTTCTTCTTCCCTGTAGACTGCAGCAGCCATCACATCTCCAGAAGCAAGGACAGGTAAGGGCAGGTGTGCAAAGCATGCAAGAGACTATTATGGCACAAATCCCACCCATGGAGAGTCAGGCTGCAGGTGACTCGTAGTAGAAAGAAAACCCTGCATGAAGCAGGTTTCCCTGCTCACACGGCCCCTTCCTGTCAAGATTCACATTCAATTAATCTTTCAGCACAAACTACACAAGTTGCACCAAAGCAGAAAAAGAAAGAGTCCCACAGTGAGCGTCCGAGAGCAGCACAGACTTCCCAAGACAGGGTCACATACTGCTTGGTGTCCTGCGAGGCAGTTCGCAGCGGAGGGAACATTCACTACTTTGGTTAGGGTCAGAAGCAGCTAAGCGTACCTTGCTGTGAATCAAACAGCAAGAGCAGGCACACTTCTGACCTGCATGTTAGTGCACTGCTTCTCCATACCATTTGCAGACCTGTAGATGTAGGGTGGCTCCTGGGTTTTTCTCCCAGCAGCCATTATCCGAGTTGGGTACCAAGACTACGCTTCCATACAGCAAAATTTTAGATTGTGCCATCCAGTTGTTTTATTGTGAACAACTAGAAAGCATTTTGGTGTATTGATTCGGTTACATGACACCTGCTGACTTTACTCCATTTTAGGGCTCTGAATATTCAGCAATTCTCCTTTCCCCCCCCAGTTACTGGTTTGTTTTCACAGGGAACAACGCAATGTGCAATGTAGGTTAAGAATGTAACAGAATACCTCTGTAGTTTTGGTTGGTGGTGTCCTTGCTACTAGTCTAGCATCGAGTCTATGAGTGGACACCCTCAGAACATGGAGCTGCGAATGGCATTTTCTTGGTGTGGTTTGGGATCTGTTTCTCCAGAAGGGCTCTGCCCATGCAGTGGTGCATTTGGCTTTATTGCAAGGTGGTGTTGCAGGGGTTCCCTTTTCTCTTATCTCAATAATTTTTTTTCTGAGAGAGCCTCTTATAAATGGATTGAATCTGCTAATTTGTTACATATGTTCTCAGTCATTTCACCGAATAGTCGTTGTACTGGTTTTAGCCATTTTGGATGCAAGTTCTTTAAATTAACAGTTCTGCTTCGACTTTTGTTATGAGGTTGTCATTGTGAACTGGTGGAAGTACTCGTGATGTGGGTCTTCAGGGGAGATTCTCTTAGTACAACCTTTTATTCTCATTGCTTCTCGTGTGTCAGTCTCAGATTCTTTAGGGTATAGACTGTGTTACTGCAGTATTTTCTTACTTGCGTAACTTCCAAATTAGCATCTTCTATAAATGAGGGAAAGAAATTTTAATAGCCTGTAGGTGGATCCTTTCTATGACAAAATCATACAGAAAGATGCATGTATTTTAACTCCCTAGTTATTAAGAACGTTCACCATACATAAAACATGTGTTTCCATTCTTTTATTTAATATATATATATATATATTAGTGAAAAAGTTTATTCTAGACAGTTGTTCCGTCTGCAACCAATTGGTTCTTTTTAGTGACCCCTCTTTGGTGAACTCTGAGTAGAGCATTTCAGAGTACTCCTTTACAGTGACTGCCCTCTGTCTGCTGTCCATCTTTACCTCGAGACCCTGAAGAACAAACCAGGATCTTTATTTCTCACCACAAAGTGAGAGAGTTAGTAGGTTTTCATTGTTAACAGCAATCTTACAATGGCCAAAAGAATTCGTGCCTCAAAACACCCAGGCAACTAAGAGCAGACTAGGATCGCTTGATTTTAAAAACAAATCTCCATACAAGAGGCCCAGACCATCGTAGAGAATCAGCTACTGAGGGCTTTCCCTCACTGCAGAAGTGGATTATAACTTGAATCCTGTCCCAAAGCTTAAAAGCAAAGTGGTGGCATTCTTCACTTGGCTGGTTCATCAGGGACAGAAGCCATGTGGAAGCTAGCACAAGTCACTGGCTGCTCAACCTCCAACTTCTTTACAAACTTCTTCCCATGGACTCAGCAAAGAGCCAAGTTCTCCTGTAACTCACTGGGAAAAGCTCAGAGCAATTCAGCTCACTGCAGCCCAAGTACGGAACGAGATCTCAGGTGCCTTCACGCCACACAAGTGAGTGTAGCACCAGTACGGATACAGAAGCCAAGTGTAATTTCATGGCATGGCCACTCACTCCAGGAAGAACGGAGACAGTTCACATGAATTCTGCACTGAAGACGGACCTTCCTTCTCACAAGGCCCCAGTGCAGCTAACCGAGCGACTGAGGCTGGGAGCAGGGGTTGAGAGAGCCAAGAAGAACAACTCTGCTGCTTTGACCTGGACTTCCCTCAGCAGCCTCAGGCCCTCCAATTCTTGGGATAGCAACCTTGCTATAAGTGACACAGCCCCTCCACCTGACTGACACCCGATTAGATTTTTCTTCCTTTTTCCTAGAGAACACCCATAGATAGATACAACATGAGTGAGCCCTCGTGTAGCTTTTCCACTCACTAAGTTTCATCCAATATGCCCTCAAAAATGTGACTATAGTATGACATCTGTGGAATGAGTCCAGGACAGCCAAGAAGGGCTGCAGATGGTTCTGGCTTTCATAGTAGCCACAACCTGGTATCAATACAAGTACTACTGTGGCAGCCACTGGCATTTTTTTAAGCACTACAAGCAAGAAGCAAAGCTGTTGCAAACTCTAAAAGCCATTTCAAGCAGGAACGAACAAGGAAGATGTGGAGGTTAAAGCTGGCAGACCCAACTGGCTTCAGGTGACCTAACAGAAAGCAACTACAATTAACTTGGTCCAGCTGCTAACTGTATTGAAACATCAAAACAATCCTTCTCACTTAATAAGTGACTCTGAAAATTAAATTAAAATGAGACCAACTACAAGTAGGCCCTGTGGCATGATACAAGGCAACCCCCTGCAACTTGGATTTTGATGTGCTGGCTATCAACTCGGACTCTCAAAGCCTCCTTCCCTCTGCTCCAACCCTGCAGCCAAATCTTCATCAGTGCGCAGACACGCCGTGCGCAGACCCCTGGCAAGCATTCCGGCATCCAAAGCATAGTTTAAAATTCCAAGATATTTAAAACGCACAACTTGATTTTCTGTTTAATTCTACACAGTAACAGCAAAAACCATGCACTAGCTTCTCTGAGCTTCTGCTGCTTCCTTCCACTTGATAAACTTATTAGCCGTCTATGGAAAAGGGTAAAACTAAGGAAAAGGCCATGTCTGTTCTAAATTCACCAACACGTGAGGCACTGCTCAAAGGAAAGCAAAAGAAAACCCTGTCTTACCTCTTTCCTATTCCTTAGAAAGTTTCAAGGGAAACGGATGGAATTCAGCCTTACATGATCAGCTCCCTTCTATTATTTCTACTACTTAAAAAAAAAAAAAAAAAGTTAAAAAGTGAAATTAATACCGGCACAGATGCTACAACCCGAAGACCCGGAAACAACAAGCCGACAGAACTGGAGGATCACCCAAGCTGATTCAGGTAGTTTAGGCCATGTCTACGTTCTGTGGGCAGATGACAGTTACCACCATCAGGCCAGAGTGACAGCACATCCATGCGCTTCTAGCAGCTCCATTATAGCAGCTGCTTTGCCTGTGCAGAAAAGTGCACCTTGGAAAGGCAGACCTTGGGGCTGCCTGGTGGGTGGCAGCAGCAGCCTTAGTCTACTTGGCAAGAGTACAGCAAAAGGTGGAGCACTGGCAGAGTAGAGGAGTCTGCCCTTGCAGAAGAGGTTTGAGTGCAAATGCCATCCATTCTGCCAGCCAAACTTTGTGGTGTAAACTAGGCCATAATCTATTACTAATAACTCAGATCCTTAAGCTCATTCTTGGCAGTCTAAGGAGAGAAGCCACAGCTGCAATCTGGTCTGAATGGCAGCTTGATTTACAACCAAGACATTTCACACAGTAAGCACCTGATGAGGGGGTTTGCTCACCAATACAGATTTGAACCAGGGACAGAGGTGGTAAATGAGTGATGAGGAGGGGAGAGGAGAAGAGCTTTCAATCTCCAAGTTCATACCTCCCTGCCTTACTTATCTTCCATGTTTAAACTCAAGGAGAAATGGCAATATATATTTACCCACTAGAAACTAGCAAGTTTATTATGGACTTGACCCATATGTAGCTGAAGAACAGGGAACTTAAACCTTAGATTTACAATAAATGTTTGCCAATCAAGGATTAATAAATCTGTTTTCATGGATATCACTACCCAACCTCAGAAAAACATGAAACACAGCATTATAAAAACAGGCGGGGAAGAGAAGGGTAAGGGATTTGGCTCAGTGGATGTCTGGTTTCTCAGTGCATCCTGCGCTAAAGAAAAATATCGCTACTTTTAGTAACAGAGGGCAACAGTGGGGAACCTCTTCTCTATAACATTTCACACAACGTACAAGTTGCAGACACTTCTACATGTTACAACCAGAATGGAAAATATCCCACCTACTTTTCTGTCTCGTATGTACCAATCACAGTAGCTGATCTACAAACATTTCAGTTAAATGAATGTTGACACCCACTATTTGACTAGTGTCCTTACAGCATTTTTAGTAAAATGAGCCTAATTAAAAGGAATGGAGAACTTGACATAGTGGGAAGGCCCCTGGATGAGCCAATGCTCGTCTGTATAATCTATTTCTTATATGCATCCTGGGGTGGGTGGGAAACAGAGGGGGAAATGTATATATATTTATACACAACATTTAGATCTCAGTATATTTCTCTGGGACTGGTGGAACAGGTTTCAGTGTTAAACTAAACGTGTATGTAAATGAAACACCTTGTTCCCAACCTAGTGAGTATAATGAGCGAAGCAAAGATGTAAAAGCTGAAGTCCCCCACCAGACTTTCAGATAAGTGCACAGGCATGCATGCGCATGTGTGCCCAGCTAGGATAACAGATTTAAAAAAAGAAGAATATGCACAGAGAAGTCCTTAAAGCCATGACTCTAGTCATGTCTACACTGGAGTGAGTTTGCTGGTATCTATATATCAGCAAATCCTTCTAAATGGGGGCAGAGCCTATAACCCAGGAAAGTTATTTTCCCAGAATAGTTCATACTAGCGGCTCCCCACACAAAACTGCTCCATAGGCAAGGGAATTTTTTTCTGGTATAGCTCACCTTTCAGTGGGATATCTGCCAATTAGGACAGTCCTTCTCCCTGCAACCCCCCAAATTATTCCGGCACAACTGAATCATTCAATGAAAGTTAGGCCTTGGGGTCAGACTGATTTGATGCACAAGAACATGCAGGTGAATGACCACTACTCATTTTTATTGCGATTAAACAACTCCTAGCAAATTAATCTTTCAAAACCTATGCTTTGTTAGAAAGCTTTTCTTTGCCAGGATTTTCTGATTATGAGCACCAATTAGCTCCAACAGTTAGAGAAACTGCTGCACTTCTTAGGTTCATACAGTCCAGAGAAAAGCAAGCTTCGTTGTAATATCTCTTATTAAACCTACGTTGTTGGAAGGGATGTTAGACAAGCGTTTGGGCACAAAAAGCCCTTCCCCAGTCCTCTGACGCCACTCTAAAGGTGCTCATAATTTACACCGAGATTCAGGGTTTTGAGGTAGTACTAACTTCTAAAGTGAAGTTTCTCCCTTATGAAAACCGTGCAGGTATTTTATGTTCAACAGCTACACCGACTGACAGTTAGGTGAGACGCAAGGGTAAACCCTGCGTACGCAGGGTTTCTTTGGGCTTTTTTAACCCATCAGAAATTCAGGCATGTTAGAGTTATTTTATTGCTGTTAATGTAAGATGAGAGGTGTATAACATTGCACTCGAGAACCACAGGTATCGGGCCGATTTTTCTCCAGCTCTCACGCGGCAGAATGACACGTGTGTAGCGGAGAGCCCCCAAGACGCCATTAGCCTTTGCTATGGCAATATGCGTTTGCTGTCTTCAAGAGCCCAGCGCTCGTGACCCTGGCAAGACTGAAGTGCCAGCTTCACGTGCCCTGCGGCAGGCAGGGCTCAGGCCTCCCCGTCCCAACCCCGTACGTCCCGATGCCCCCACCGCGCGCGGGCCGTCGGAAACCACCTACAACGGAGGTCCTGAGCTGCGCCCTCGCTCGCAACCCCCAGAGCGATGTCCCGGCCGGCGAGCTGAGCGGGAGGGCTGCCGCGCACAGAAGCAGGAGAGCGCCTGTGGCAGAGACGGACGGCAGCGCTTAAAGCCCTCGAGTTACTTGGGGCAGAAAACCAAGAAGAAGTTTTCAGTTAAATCCAGTTACGCGTGAAACACGCCGGCTTCGCTACGCTAATACCACATCCTCAAACCGGGCGATAAGCCTCTTAGCGCCCTGCAGAAAGGATAAAGACCAAGCAGAGGCCAGGGCTGCTCTCCTCTCCCCCGGGACAAGCGCAGCACCCCTCGGCCCCCATCTGCCCGCCTCCCCGGCCCCGCAGGGCACAGCTCCGCCCGAGCG